CGAAAAGACGCATTTTTTCCAGTTTTTCGTGAATTTCTCGACAACCCCTTAAGATAATTACATCGTCGACCACACGTTAGAAAGCTGAATATCTCACCTTTCCAACAAGTCTATTGGCATCTACGTACTACCTCCGAGTCGCCTGCTATGAGTTGTAGAAATTGGAAAAAAAATATAGTTGATTTTCCAAATGTAGAACAGATGTTTAGTAGAAAATGAAAGCTCGAATGTTTTAGGAGAAGGATCAAGTGAGTGGGAGAGAGAGAGAGAAATGAGATCAATTAAGGGTTTAACAAATACATTCAATATTTATTTAATATGCGATACAAAGAGAATCAATTCATTATTATTTTGCGTTACTTTTTTTTTTCCTTCCTTCCTTTCACCTCTTCCTCCTATTTTGTTCATATTTTTATTTCATTTATTTACTTTATTATTCTTCCATCAGTAATATAATAATATTCATCATCTCCTATTATTTATTATATAATCATATATATATTTCATTTCTCCATATAATATAAAACAATTCCGGTATCTATTTAATATATATAAATATATATATACAGTATTTGTACTTTTGAGCAAATACCATTTTACATATTGCGTGTATTGTGTGTGTTAAGAAAAATAAAGACTATTGTACCATCTTGGTTGAGCATTAGTAACATTTATAAGAGTAATGGCAACATTGAGGTTCATTACGTTTACAAAGTTTTTTTTTTTTTTCAATATATATATAATATTTGTTTCTCATCATCATCATCTTGTATTTTTTTTTGTATGTGTTTGGTTTTGTGTTTGTTTCTCTTAATGAACTGAAATGATTCTCTCTCCGAGGATATACACAAAAATCGTATTCTTCACATTTCTTCTCCTTCACATCGAAGAAGAAAAAATAAAATAAAATTATAATATTTATAATATATATATATATAGAAAAGAAAAAAACATATACAGAGAAAGGAAAAAAAGAAATTACACGAACTGGACGCAAAACACATTTTCTCGTTTCCTCCTGCTTACAAGGGACAAACAAAATTAACAAAAAAAAAAAAAATAATGATAGTGGTGATAATATAATATTAAAAAGGATTGTCGCACAGAAACGGAAAGAATGAAAAAAAAAAAACAAGTCACCTCTTTCTCACACCGCTTAATCAACAAAACGAAATTAATACAAAACAATAAGTGTCTAAGGAAATAATATAAAATAATAATTATATAAAAAAAATTACAGAAACAAACAATCACTCTTCTCACATATTTCTCATCTTTTTACAACCCTGTCACTTAATATATCCCAGTCTTATTTACATAACAAGTATTAATTTACAAATAATCTTCCTCGTCTCCTTCTCCTTCACAATGATCACTTTCATTTCCATTCATCCAACGAAAAAAATACAAAAATAAAAACGCGCATCATCCAAATTAGAAAAAAAAAACGTAAGTATTTCAATCGAAAAGAGGGAAGGAAGGTAAATCGAATTTACAACTTTCGTATACAAAAAGTGGTGATCCCACGCAAAAGAAAGAAAAAAACAAACTACGTGTAGCAAAAAGAGAAACACAAGTATCGATCAACAAGTTTGCGTTTACACACATGGAAAATTAATGAAAGAAACAAATAAATACAACATATGTAATTTTTTTTTTGAGTATTCATTTTCTTCTTTATTTGTTTTGTTTTTTGTATATATTGTTTATATTTCTATGGCACTTTGTATTTTTATTATTTCTTTAAATATAGTTTTGTGTTTTCTCTTCTCTCTATCTCTCTCTCTCTCGTTTAGTTTATTAACAATTATTGGAACTATTGCAGAAGGCTCGAATAAATTCTTCATCGGCGGCGTTCGCCTTCATTGTGAGCGTATCTTAAGTTAAAAAATTAAAAAACATAAATAATTCATAAACAAATCATTGGAAAAATTGCATTTTCAAAAAGTTTTAATTTGTGTGTTGTGTGTTTGTGTGTGCATTTTCAGGGCTGAAGAGTCCTTGTTTTTAATTAATTAATTAATTTAATTTGATTTGGTTTGGTATATACGTAAGAATTTTGGAATGATGTGCGCGCGAACTGGTTTATAAAAACAAAAATTTCGAAACAATCGGCGAAAGAAAACAAAAGAAGAAACAGTTCTGGGATATCACATCAACAACAATCATTTGTTTTCGTTCTGCTTAATGAATAGAGAAAACAAGTTGCCGGGCAACGTAAAAATAATAAACATGCTTAGATGTGAACACAAAAATATGTATAGATATATAGAAGAAAAACAAAAGGGGGTAAAACATAAGAAAAAGAAAAAAAAAAGAAAAACGTTCTGTATAATATAATATATACGTTCTATATAATAATATAATATATATATTAAAGAAACATTAATAATGAAAAAGTGTGACACACTTAGTAATAATTATATATATATATATTTATAAAAAAATGATTCTTGTTATATAATTAATTATATATATATTTTTCTTATCCATTCTTAAAAATGTCCTTAATAATCCTTTACTCCTTTTCACTCTTTCTCTTCGCCTTCATCTTACTCCTTCTTCCTTCCTTCCTCCACATCGTATATAATAATATATATATATATATTTATATATTCAATAATATGTACAAGAAAACAAAAAAAAAACTTCCTTAGAGTCTATGAATTAATTAAATGCTATCACGAGTTATGTTTATCTTTTTTTTTATTTATTTACTTTTTTTTTAAGTCTTGTAGCTCAATAAAACGTGTGTGTGTGTTCGTCGTGTTCCGATCAACTTTCGGACTACCAAAACATAAGCGGGCGAAACTCGTCCACGAAGACTAGATACATCATAGTCCGTTCAAACTAATTAAAAAAAAAAAACCGAAGAGAAGAAACAAATTACAAAAAAAACGAAATTTCGCGCGCCGAAATTTTGCGAGTCCAAAACTTTAATCGCTCATCATCATAATCGAAACAAACAAATAAAACCGAACAAAAAAAACATCCACTCCATCATCATCTCTCTCTCTCTAATTTATACTTATTACATAAGTTTTGTTGCTGTCCCATATTAGTTTCCAAAATTGCACACATTACACGGTCTTCGCCTATTCGTCGATCACAATTCATTACATTTTGATTCTCTCTTTCTTCTATTCAATCCCTCCTATCTTGAGCGTTCTCGTCGCTTCCCCCAGTTCAATTAATTATTATTAACTTAAAAATGAGATCTTTCTGTTTATTTAATCATTTTGGTTTTGTTGTTGTTGTTGCTGTTGTTGCGTATATCAACATCTGATCTACAGAGAAATAACGAAAACAAACAAAGCTAAGTATAAACAAAATTCGTTGTTTTTGCTGATTTTTCAAATTCAAAAGAAACAGGAAAAATAAGAGTAATTCAAAGGACGAACTGATACACAAATAAAGAAAACAACCGATGCTTCTGCGACTTCACATTAAACTTAATCGACGAAAGATTTGATCTTATTTTGAAAAGTTTTTGAAACTCTGACGAAGTTTTTTTTCTAAATTTAAATAAATTGGTACAGATATATTATTTATAAAGATATTAACGACAATAAACGTTTTGTGTAAAACTATTCTCAAAAATTAAAGCCAACGCTTTTACGAATCTTACGATTTAGTACGTAGTCTGCAATGTATCATTCATTGAAGCAGATTCCATTTTATCAATTAATAAAAACTAATTACAGGTTTTTTTTTAAGCAAATTTTACTTTGTTGTTCGATTGTTAAGAACAATATTTCTGTTTTTACAGTAATATGATGATTCATAATGCACAAATTCAATAAATTTTACCAACATTATCAATATATTTTCACGTTTGGAACCTGAAAATATTGTATCATACAAAATATCTTAATTTTGATATATTTCATAATAAAAAAAACGTTGCTTTTAAAGCATCCTCTGATAACTAAAGATTACTATTATTAGGATTAACACAACAATTTTTTTTCCACTCGTTTCGTTCAACAACGATAAATTAATCAGCTGTTTGCAATAATTAAAGCTTCCCTTATTCCAAATCGTGTGGATATTTTAAAGCCAAATTAAGTTCAATGTGAAGTGAAGTGTTTTCATTTTTCCGTGTCGAATCTTCAGCGCCAAAATGCATTTCAAATAATATTATAGTTTTCTTTTCATCCTTTACAAATGATACAACAATAATGACGACAATAACGTAAGATTATTAATTATTAATTAATTATTATGATAACAATCGATCAAGATCGTTTTTTTCGGTGTAATTATTACATTGATTTTTCTTTTCCCTATTACTATTGTTTGTTTGTTTTTTTGTAGTTGTTTGTTTTGTTTACATTAAGAGATCACATTATTAAATCTATCTACAACAATAATTAAAAAGTACGTTTAAAAGTATTGCCACTAAGTGAACAACAAGGACACGTCGCATGTTCATATCTATATATATAATATATATAATATAACATCTTTGTGTTTATGTGTTTTGTGTTTTTTTTTTCCTCTTTATTTATAGTTTTTTTTTGTGTGTGTGTGTTAATTATTATTTATTTTTAAATATTTTATTTTCTTTATACTTCAATATCGTTATTATGCATTAATTAATTAATTAATTTAGTCAATTAATTACTTTCTTCATATCTTCAAGTCGTCGTCGCGCGTGTTTGTTTATTGTTATACATATACTCTTTTTTTTTGTCTCAGATTCCTCGTTCGGATTCTTCCTTGCATTTTTATGTTATTTATTATTTTTTTTGTAATTAATTACTTTAAATATATAATATATATATATATATATATAATTCGCTACTTTTGCGTATAAAAACCCAAATTTCATTCCATCTCCGGATAAAATTTGCTTTTTTAAAATACTCCTTACATTTAAACATATATATATTTTTACATATATATATATATATTCATATTTTTTTTTTCTCTCGCGCTAGTAAAAAAAAAATGTGTGTGTGTAGAGTGTATTTATTTTGAGGGAGGGTTTTTTGGGGGGGGGGGGATTTTGAATTAGTAAAAACAGGTAAACGTGTATAAAATAATGGGTTTAACTGTGGGGAGGGCTTTGCTTGGGGGTTCTGGGGGGAAAATTGATTTTCCTTCTCTTCTGTTGATTTTGTATAGTAGTAGTAGTAGTAATAGTTATAGTAGTATTATAGTAGTAGTAGTAGTAGTAGAACAAATAAAAAATATAGAGAATAGAGTCTCTCTCGCTACAAACTATCCGATCAGAAACACCTTTCCGTTAAAAGAAAAATTTTCAGCACCATATGAAGATCACTCCGAATACAAATATATATTTATATATATATTATATATACATATATAAATGTTTGTTGTGTGTTGTTTTTTTTGTTTGTTCTATATGCAGTTTGTTTATATTTAATTGTCTGTCGTTTGTTCAAATAGAAACTGTGACTTTTTACATTTCTGCTTTTCAATAGTCTATATGTGGTGGTTGTTGTTGTTGTTGTTCATTAGTTATATTGTAGTGGTTGTTGTTGTTGTTGTTGTTGGTTGTATAACGTGTTCTAACTGGCTATGGGTCACCCGATGCAAGAACCGAGTTGCCAGCCAGTGGCCGCTAGTCACTGGGCCGGAAGACCGTTGGGCGGTTTGAATTCGGGGGCGGAGGCGCCGGCTGCGGCGGAGAATTGATGGCCGAGACTCGTCGGGGGATTGAAGCTCGGGGCGTAGCACTGCGGGAAGTAGAGTTCTGGCTTGACGACGGCGGTCGGCGTCAGATTTCTCATCCCGTTGAGCTTGGATTCAGCTGCGGCTGCTGCTGCTGCGGCGGCGGCGGCCGCTGCCGCGGATGGATCGCGTCGCGACTTCGAGGCGTGCGGATTCATGTGGTTGTCTATGTGCTTTTTGACTTCCGGTTCGGTGGCGAAGCGGCGCCGGCAGTTCGGCATTGGACAACAGAACGGACGGTCACCCTGATGGGTTCTCGTGTGTTGGTCTAGAATGGCCTTCTGTCTGAAATCCTTGCCGCACTGCTGGCACTTGTATGGCTTCTCACCGGTGTGGATCCTCAAGTGTTGATTGAGGATCGTTCTTTGACGGAAGTTGCGGCCGCAGTAGACGCAGCCGTACGGTTTTTCGTTGGTGTGTATCCGGAGGTGCTGGGTCAGATGGCTCTGCTGTCTGAAGCGTTTTCCGCACTCCGGACAGGGATACGGCCTCGACTCGATATGTATGCAGCCGTGCTGCAGCAGTGTCGACTTCTGCTTGAACTCCTTCTGGCAGATCGGACACCTCACGTAGAGCGGCATTCCGGCGCTCCTGCCGTGCTGTATCACGTCCGGCAGACCCTTTTGGCCCTGGTGATGCTTCAGGTACTGCAGGGCGCCGAAGTTTGCTGTTGACCCAAACACCGAATGGTTCATTCCCTTGTTATCCTTAAAGTAAGAAGGATATTGCAGATTACCGGACACAGTGCTGTTCGGCGAGAAGCAGCCCGTCCTGTCGTTCTGGGAGTCGCCATCGCCGTACGTCGACGCCACCTCCTCCTTGCCCTCCTCCGGCGGAAACGGCACGTCCTGCGGCCAAAGCGTCGCGTTGATCCCATTCTTGAACACCAAATGCGGACTCACATCTGCAACCGGAAACGAGAACAAAAAAAAAAACGGCGACCATTAATTACGCATGCCAAAACAAACATTCGAAAAGACTTTTCAGGTGATTCATTCACATTTCGAATTCAACACCCCCCCAACTTCATCATCATCATCGCACTCTTTTTTAATCGTTGCCAAACATTCAAAGAAAAAACAAAGAATCGTTCGCAAATACCATCGGTAAAGTCGCTTGCTCGCATCCACCACTTTGTGAACGTCTGCCGAGGAGCGGCGCCCTCCTCAGACGGGACACGTCATCCGGAATGCGTCCGAAGGATGGAACCGGGCCGGCCGTTCCTGGATTATCCCGGAAAAGACACTCTTTTACCGGTGATAACCGTCGGAGTGGCGGATCCGCTTCCATCCCCTGGACACAGGCCGTACGACGCTCCGCTCATCACCGCAAACGGACGATCCGCTCCTCCGCAACCATCCGCCTAGTACGTCAATCCGAGCAGGGACTCAGCACCGGCACTCCTTGGCCGAAATAGTACTGAAAGTGCCCATTTCGTAACCAACACCCATCATTTTATGGACACTTTCAGCACTTTCCTGTCAAGGAACACCTCACCTCAAGTATTCACAAAACCAAAAACGCCCTCACATAAAAATAATCCTATCCTCCCTCAAATCAACATTGAATCACTGCCATTTCGCATCTATTTAGAAAACTAAATAATATCACTTCCTAAATTAATCTAAACAACTTAAGCAATTGACTAAACTATAATTAGTATATAAATTGTTTAACTAATTATATGATATTTTTTAATGTTTATGACGATATTTTTTTTTTATATTGCAATCGAATCAAAGCACTAGAATTTATTAATTTACCCCATTTTTTTTACGTTCGATTCAATTCGTGTTGCGTGATAATCCGATAAAGCTTTGGCGCCGTTTCATAATCTTTTTTTTTCCCTCTCTCCATATTTCATTTGCGCAATTCTCCAATATACTTTTTTTTGTTGTATTATTTCATATTTTTTTGGGTAAATTCACGCGGCGTTGATTTCAATTACAACATTTGCCTCTACTTTTCTCTACTACAAAATTTTTATTATTTTTTTTTGTTGCTTCTCTTCCTTCAATTCCGCTCCTAATGGCGTGAAATTCGAGCCGCCGTTAAAAATAAAGAGCGTGCCGCAATGAACAATTTTTAGTGGACGAGCGTCGTAAAAAAGACAACATTCTCTCTCTCTCTTTGTCTCATTGCTAAATCACTCTCGGTCACTTTTTTTCATCCTTCTCGCTTCCAAAACAATCAAATTAGTTTCATAATTCGCGTCGGATCGATTCGAGCCGCCGCGATGTATAAAACTTAAGAGAGAATTGAACGCGACTGCAACTATTTCAAATATTGCATATTATATATATTTTTTTGTATACATTTTATTTCGATGTTTATTAACAATTTCCATGTAAAATTCCAACTGCAAAAAACCAATAATAAATTATGGCTGCAATGTTGTTTCAATTCTGATGCACTTCAATTCGTTTTCGATATAAAGCAAATAACCATCAGAGCGTGTTTATTTTTATATATTTCATTTGATATTATATAAATATTGGAATCGTTTCGCGCTCAATTATTCGGTTTTTTTTTCTTCTTTCTTAAATCAATTTTCGGTGGACGCGAGTTGCGTTTTTCTTTGCATCTGGTCTACCTTCGAGTTGAAGACAACTTTTATTTTTATTTTAGGAAGTGAACCGAAACTGGTTTTCGCGCCGTGGCAAAAACGAACAAACAAAAAAAAAAGCAGCAGCAAAAGCAGCGAGAGATGCCAACCACTGTACGTCAGATACGTCTAGATTTTGTCTGCAAAACCAACTTCATATTTCCTTGCGAATCAATCACGTATTTCGAGAAACAACACACAATGCAAAAGTCTTGTTTAAATCGCATTTCCATATTTCATATTCATAAATCTAGAACTAATTTAATTACAAAAATATAAATATAAATGATTCTATCTGTAAGTGAATATTATTTTTCTATTAATTTATAATTAGAATCCGCTACATTATAATTCGTTTTGAAATGTTTGAGTCAGAAACTGCGGTTATAATTTTTATTGAATTCCATTAACCCGAATCCGCCAGTTGGATATCACTTGGAACTAGTTAGAAGTAGTCTCGCTGCAATTTGCATAAACACTATTTACCAATTTTCCATGTACAACAATTTGCTGTTATTTTTCAGCATTTAAAAAAAAAATTGTAATTCTATACTAATGTTATCTTTGAACTAATTTAAGACTAAATTACGGTTCTTTTTATAGTCCCTAATTGTTTACGATTAATATTTCAAAGAATGCTGCAACCTCAATTAGTTATCATTTCTAATAATTCATGACTAAATCGAATATAAACTTAACATTTTGATCGTGTTATAAACTAATTATATTATAAATGTTTTCAATTTCAATTTAGAAAAAACACTATTGATATTGAGATAATGTGATTCAAGGAATATAACGAGTTTAAAATAGTTTATGAGTAAAACCCAATCTAAACATACATTATGTTTGATGATTCACGCGAAATGTATAAAATATATATATATAATCTGCTATTTGAATAGATAAAGAAGTTTTCTGCGTAATTAATACAAGATATTGAGTTTTCCATTTCATTCATATTCACTTTAAGTCCTTTTAGCAATAGTTTGTAAATGTACATTGATTTAAAAACAACAAGTTTCTATATTAAATATATTGGATTGATGTGCTTTGCATTTCTAAACTTCTTATTAACTAATTTTTAGTGTACGTCCTAATCCAACTATAATACTGATATAAATTACAAGTTTGTTAAATAAAAAATACTTATTTCTAATCTTTGGATAACTTCAATTGATATTTGTTGATTTTAAGGCTTGAAATAATTTTGTTTTGATTAATAAATGTTGCTTCATTTTAAGCTATAATTAAATTATGTACGTATTTGCACTTGATTTAAAACCTGAGTGGAAATTATTCATAACAACTCGTTCAGTTTCGATACAAAACTAATCTAATTGAGTACTCGTTTTATCATTGATATAGTTCGTAAAGTACTTGTACAATATTATGCAATAGTCCTTGTAATTAATTTATGCTTAATTATATATAATACAGTATACTAAGTTTAAAAAATAAATAAATTTGTACTAATATTTGGCTTAATGTACTTTGTACTTTTCAGTCTTATCGGTTTACTGCTAAAAGTTAATTGCACTTTGCAAGATGTATGTACTCATTAGTCCTATTGTACATATTTTGTTTAGAGCGATGGCAGCGATGTGAAGAGTGCGTGAGGGGGGTTTTCGAGAATTCGAAATGCGAATTGTTCGGGGTGAACCAAAAAATATGTAAAAAATTATAGTAATAAGAAGAAAACTGAATAAAGAAGAGGTAATGAAAGAAAGAAATAAAAAATAAAGAGTAAAACAATGAGAACTAAATGAAATAATTTGTTAGATCTAAACTGTAAAACTAAAGTTGGGAGAAGATACGACCAACTCTAACCGCTCGTGCAGCACAGACCCTCATGCCTCCAACCACCAAGCGTATTTTGCCAAAATAAAAATAAAAAAAAAACAAGGTTGATGAAAGTTATTCGACAGTCGTTCGCGTACGTACGTGTTGTTAGTTAGTATATATTGAAAAGTGAAAGAGTGACTGTTTGTACGTAGATTGATTGAGAATGAATGAGAGAAATAGAGATAGATATTGATTGAGTTGAATGGAGAGTGAGAGAAAGGTTGAATTTGATGGTCGGTCAGTTGTTGGTTCGTTCGTTCGATTGGTGGTTGGAGGATGTAAGCTAGTGGCGGCGGTTGTGAGTTGAGAGTGGGCCGCAGCCGTGGGCTATAAATATTAAAAGAGAGTGGAGCTTAGGGTCGCTCGCCTTGGTGTGTGCGGACGTGCTGGTTGAGGATGGCCTTCTGTCGGAAGTGCTTGCCGCACTCGGGGCACTCGTATGGCTTCTCACCAGAGTGTATGCGCAGATGTTGATTGAGGATGGCCCTTTGCCTGAAGGTGCGTTCGCAATAGACGCAAGCGTAGGGTTTCTCGTTGGCGTGGATCCGCAGGTGCTGGGTGAGATGGGATTGCTGACGGAAGCGTTTGCCGCACTCCGGACAACCGTACGGTCGGCTGTCCGTGTGGATGCGTTCGTGCTGCAGCAGCGTCGACTTCTGTTTGAAGTCCTTGCCGCAGGTCAGACATTTGAAGAGCCTGAGCTCGCTGCCGATGCCCTTGCCGGGCGGCTTCAAATTCTGCTGCTGCTGCTGCTGGATGACGTCGGGCAGAGCGGCGGCCCGCAGGTCCTGCATATTGCTGGCGTATTGATCCAGCTGGCTGGAGCCGTCGGCGCCGATCGACGTCAGCATGACGCCGGGTTGCTTAAGGTAGTGCAGGGCGGAGAAGCTGCCGGCGCCGAGCATGTGCGGCGGCACCGGCGGTGGACCCGAAGGAGGCGGCACTCGCGCGTACTGCTGGTAGCTCTGCTGCTGCTGGATGTCGGCTGAAGATGGGAAGCACTGCGAGGATGCGGGACGGCCGCCGCCGCCTCCAGCACCTCCACCTCCTCCTCCTCCACCGCCTCCTCCTCCTCCTCCACCTCCGTTGTTCGTCTCCAGGTCGAGGGCCGGTTGATCCGGTTGTATATTGTTGTCGTCGTCACGGGTTTCCGCTTGCGTTGCAGGATACGGGGAGGGGGCGGGTGAGGGCAGGCTCTGGTCCCGGGGCGCCACGGTATCCGCCTCGACGCCAAGCGGCACCGTCGGCCCCAGAGCCTGCTGGGGACTCGCCGCCCCTGATGCCCCCGACGACGACGACGTCTGCTGTGGCGCCGACGCGTAACTGTCCTGCGCCCCCCATTGCATCTGCGTCCTGTCTATCCCATCCTTGTACAGCACGTACGGGGCGGTCGTATCTGCAAACAAAGCAAAAAAAAACAACAATAAATAAAACAACTTTTAACAACCTCATCAATTTCACATTATATCCATCAGCAACAACAACAACTACCTCAACCTCACTTCTACTACTACTACTCTACAACTTCTGCTGCAACCACCATCATCGCATACAAAAAACGATCCATCAACTCACTTCTTACATACATTCACCAAACGATCTTTTAATTGAACATCCGAACACCGCAAGAAACAAACACATTTTCTAAATGCAAGAGAAATCAACCTGCACATCATTATTATTATTTAGTTACAAAAATAAAGTGTTTTGTATCATTATTTAAAATAGACTTTCGACTAATAATTACATCATCTTTCAATTAAATCTAACAAACTTACAAATAATAAACTTACATTTATTTAAAATTTGTATTGTTTAGAAACTAATTAATTATTAAAGTAATAATAATAGAAAATACTTCTTACTATATTTTGTACTAAAGTACTTGAAGTAATGACAAAAATGTGTTTTCAAACAATTTTCAATTAATACTAACTAGTAAAGTTTTAAAGGAAAACATAATAATTCTGACAGTAATCTCATAAGTATTTTTTAACGAAAGTGTAGCCAGTTTTCTTCAATTTTCTTTAAAATTTTGTTCCACTTTCTCAATTTTTGTTATATTTTTTTAAAAGTTATTACATCTCTTTAAATTTTCTCTAATAATATCACTTTTTCTACAATTTTATTACATTTTCTTAAATATTGTTCGATTTTCTTAATTTTTGTTACATTTTTTTCAAAACTTATTACATTTGCTTCAATTTTATCAGAGTTTCCCTAATAATGTCACTGTCTCTTCAATTTTAGTACATTTCCTTAAGTATAGACACTTCTATTTCAAATTTGTTAGATTTTCTTAAATTTTGTTCCATTTTCTTAAGTAGTACAAGCGAAAGTTCTGAAGTTATATATAAAAAAATGTTGGTAAACCGGTAAAATCTTTATTCTCACTTGATTCATCAGAAAGTATGGAAGAATTGAATTGGATAATAATAAAATAAAGCCATTTAATGGAAATCATGAGATAAAAACTTTGATTTTAAAAGATACAAATAGATGTGAAGCAAAGAAAATAGTCTTTTATTATTAACTAAAGGAACTATACAAAATCAATGTACGTAAACCGAGGGCTGTAGATAATTCAAAAAATATATATTTGCACTAAAATCCTTGAAGAAATAAATTACAAATGTTTCGTTTCATTAAAATCAGGTGATTAAATTATTGTTATTATTATTTGCAAATAAATGTGTTCACGAAAAATGTGTCCTTAACCTTTGGAGTCGAATCCTCAAAAATCACTTACAATTGAATACATGTTTAAATTACAAAAGAAAAAATAAATTAGAGAAACAAGTCATTGTGTTTTTTCGGTATTCTACAGAACAGTTTTACAAATAAGTATGTATGTATGTATGTACTGAATATTTTCGTACAAATTAAAATTAGTTATTTCACAATAGTAAATTTTGATTACGTTAATTGTGATTTATATAGCATGCTTTCATAATAACTTAATTCTATATAGTTATAGAGAAACCAATATTTTTTTTGCTAATTAATACACGAAAATGCAAACTAATTGTCGCATGTAATGTCGTGAGTAATTTACTGTGCATTACTTGCATTTTTGTGTGCATGTAATAAAAGTAAGTGTTTAATTAACGTTAATTTCGATTGATAAGTATAGGAAACGCGACCATCTCTTAGATATTGTGTATTAGTTAGTGAATTTGATCATTTTTATCGTCACTCGTACATAATAATGATGATGATAAACAATCCCGAAAATTCTCCCACACCAGAGCCGCGTTATTTGTTTGGCTTTGATCTGGCTGTAAATGCAGTTCCCATAGATGTGTTTACATACAGCACTTCTTGTGATCGTTTCCCCACACTTCGAACATGTGGCCGTAGTAAAGCTATTCAACATTCCCGGTAGGCAGTAAAACTAATGCACACCATCTCCAGCCAGCCGCACAGACACAGCACAAAACCAGAACTGTCCACGAAAGAAAGACAGAGAAGATAAAGAAAAAGTAGTCGCAAAAAAAAAAAGAAGAGAAGTAAAGGAGACAGATTAGTCATCTCCTCCGACCCGGCGCACCCGAAATATCATTAAATAACAACGGGTCTGTCCAAAAAAAAAGTTGAAACACGTTCGAACCAAAACAAAATGTATCAAAACGAGTAGAATAATATTTGAATTATCGCTTTCAAACTTAATTTATAGAAGCAAAACGAGTTTCGTAACACCTGAAAAGTCTGCTTTGGCTACGTCTCAACAACAATAATAATAATAATAACAACAACAACAAAAAATACAATACAAGGACTCTCGATGTTCAAGGATCGAGACGAAAACAGCGATTTCGATTAGCGAATCGCATTGTAATTATTTGTTGTTACTTGGCAATAATTGTTGAAGATAGAGCCGTGGCAGCAGACGGTAATTGGACTTATCGAAATTAATTAAACGGGACGATCGTTAATTAATTGCCGAAACACACGATGACAGGATGATGATGATTATGATGATGATGATGATAATAATTTCAAACATCTCGAATCGCGGTAGGTGTAACCTTAATAAAGTGCAGTTTAAAAACAGGATGTAAACGCGGACGATTTCAATTGCAAATTCTACGAGAATGAAGACCACGATGAATCATTCATAATATCCATCGGCGTGGAAAATATTGCTTTTCCTACACACTAAATGGTGATTTGTTTTTTTTTTTGTTTTTGTTTCTTCTATCCCTCAGTCAAACATCAGTATTTCTACATGAAATCTTTTATAATCTCTCTCTAAAGAAAGGTTTTATTTCACATTGTTATAAATCTGGAGTAAAGAATGTGCTGTTTTTATTAATAAATCTAGTAACTTCTGGTAAATATGTGTCAACTTCAAGAATAATAATAACAACAAAATGTATGTTTCTTGTCTATTATCACAACACATTTATAATTCTTCCTGTATACAACATATTCTCAACATCATCAAGAAATCCATTAAATAATGGGAACAAAATCAAATTAATGATTGTTGAATTTAAATGTTAAATCAAGAAATTTAAAGTTATCATCAATTAGATTGAATGTTTACTTGATTCCAAAGAGATTACGTGATCGAAAAGATAACAAAAAAAAAATAAGTTGTAGGTCTATTAGAAGATAAAAAAAAAAACATAATTAAGGTCGAGTTTAAATCTAAATGTATATTTTATGTATGTGTACGTGTTTCATTCAGAAGCGAACAATTTAGATAACTTTAGTGATGTTTCCTAATTAACTGATACAACTAGAATATTAGAATCGGAATACTAGTTCGTGATAATATCCCGTAAGTATTGGTTAAGATTGATTGAAAGAATGAAATAAAAATGGGAATGAGTTGTGTTATTCGATGTCGGTTTTTATTTTTTGGGAATTTCCATACGTTGGAAGCGCGCGCGATTGAGAGAAGGACCTTGATTCTCGAGACTGCAATGCAAGAGATGACTAAACCTTGACCTTGTGTCTACTAATCCCGGCGAGGAGAGCCGGTCTCTCGGGGGGGAGTAATAAGTAGTACTTCGTTTTGGAGCAAGCGAGATGACCGTTCTTCACAAGAACGGCCGTTTTTCGTCCTCCACCACCAACAACCTCATCATCATTTATTATTATCGAACGTCGCGGGCAATGAAATGAGTTGCGCGCTCTTGGGTCAGAGAGTTCTCTTCTCTTGCGAAGGAACAAAACGGCCTGGAACAAACTGGTTATTCGTGATCGGGCCCTGCGAAGGTGCTGCGACAGAAAGAGATAGATCATCATCAGCAGCAGCAGCAGCAGAAGTATCAGCAGATGAGAGAGAAAAAGAGAAGAGAAGTGCCCGTGATTGATAGGATTCTTTCGGGGCCCTAGCGCTGGTTGTTGCGGTCGTTTCTTCTTTTTTTTTTTTGGTTGCTGTTGCCGTGTGTGTGTGTTGATGTTGTATCAACGAGAAATATTTCCCCCCAGGGCCAAAAGGCTCGCTATGCATGCATGTGGTATATATGTATATATATATAAAAAATACGAAAGAATAAAAAATAAAATAAACTGGGACCCAACCCGATGTATGTTGCGGCGGCTCTCGCGTGACCGGTTCTCCTCTTTTTTTACCCACACACGTACACACACACGCACACACTCTGCACACACACATTTAAGTCCGTATTTTACCTCTCAGGTTCTTACTCCTTTTCGGTAGACGCACTTTTACTTTCCTTCGAGCGGCGGTTTTGTTGTACGCGACCGAAAAGCCCGTTTCACCTTCACTTATTTAGTAGCAGCAAAAGCAACAGAAACAGCGGCGGCGACGGCGGCGGTAAACAAAGTTTTTAAACCGAAATTGAAACTCGTCCAAAATAAGGGTGATAGAGAGAGAGAGAGTAAGAACCTTAGGAGAAGAGGACGCGACTCGCACTCATATCGCATGCACAACCCTCCGCAGGACGTGTGACATTACCCATGAGCGGTGGTGGCGGCGGCGGCGGTTGGGGTAGGCTGCGTCTGGCTGCCCACTTTTTTTCGCTCGCTCGCTCGTCGGGGGCGGCTCTCTCCGTCGAGCATGGAGCAGGCTCTATGCACGAATTTTCGTTCGCTGAATGAATAATAGATGGAACGCCCGGGGGGTGAGGTGGCAGGAGGCGGCTGGGGTAGGTGATGTGAGGTGGCTGGCTGGCGGCGGCGGCAGAGGGGTTTTTCGTCGGGAGACTGCGTGGGTTAGGACAGGGTTTTTAATCGATACCTTTTCAGGGTCGGCCCCCCCGAAGTTAAGATAGGTTCGGCATATAAAATCCATATTTGGGTATGTGTATCTGAGCCAACCCTCTCACATTCACTCGCCGTCTCTTGAGCGAGAGAGGAGGAAAGGGGAGGAAATGAAGGTGGAGAGAGGCTAAGGCCGCATTCCTCAAGGTGGACCCCTCGAGCGGAGAACAGCAGATCTCTTACCCAACTAAATTCATCCGCAATTAACTCTATATCTTCACAAACACCACTCGGTTACTTGCCCTTTGAAATTCACTTTTAAAACTTTCCATTCAACAACTCCCAATACAACCCAACCTATTTTAGAACCAAAATAATACAAAATACAATATTAATCATCACTGTTAACATACTTTTCATGCAATAATGAAAGATGTCTCAAACTTGTAACTTTATCAAATATGATTTACAAATGTAAATCTTAATCAAATTTCATTGAATTCTATCTGCATTTGAATATGAAAACTACGTATATGTAAATTATTTAACTAAATCCATCAATCTTTGATTAAATCGTAAATAATTATGAGAGCAACTAATTGGAAATATAATATATATAAAAAAAAATATATTATCGTATATTTATATACATTAGCATTGCTGTAGGCCACTTAGCGCACGTCGAAAATGCAAAACTTATCGCACAGTGAGTGAGTGAGTCAACCGGCGTTCGTAAAAAATGGTAATTAAAAGTAGTTTAACCTTTAATAAATCAAGTCGCAGACGTGGAAAATAGGATTATAAATCATATAATAAATTTATAAATAGTTTCTCTTTCATGATTCGCACTAGATAAATGTATTTTGAGAGATTTCATATTTTTAACAGTGTAACGTATCTATTTCATTTTTTTTTTAAATAAATTCAATAATTGTTTCAATATTTATTCAAAATTTAAATCATAATGTAATCTTAGTTTTAATTACAAAAGTAAAAAAATAAATTAAGAAAGTGTCATGAAAGAAGCGTTACCATTTGAAATTGCCGCCATTTTTTTGCAGTTAAGGTTATGTAAGTTTATCTTTGATAGTTGTGAAGAATAGAATATCGAATTTTATGCGAGTGATAAAAACTTTGTTAACAATTTTACAAATCTATATTAAAATCTTCCTACAACTTTAATTACAAAAGTAAAAATAAATTACGAAAGAGTCATGAAAGAAGCGTTACCATTTGAAATTGTCGCCATTTTTTTGCAGTTAAGGTTATGTAAGTTTTTCTTTGACAGTTGTGAAGAATGGAATATCGAATTTTATAAGAGTGATAAAAAGTTGTTATCAATTTTAAAAAATTTAAAATCTTCCTATAATTTTAATTACAAAACTAAAAATAAATTACGAAAGTGTCATGAAAGAAGCGTTACCATTTGAAATTGCCGCTATTTTTTTGCACTTTAAGTTATGTATGTTTATCTTTGACAGTTGTGAATAATGGAATATCGAATTTTATGAGAGTGATAAAAATTTGTTATCAATTTTTAAAATCTACATTAAAATCTTCCTATAATTAATCAATTTAATTAAATATTAATCATAATGTAATCTTAATTTTAATTACAAAAGTAAAAATTAAGAAAGTGTCATGAAAGAAGCGTTACCATTTGAAATTACCGCCATTTTTTTCTAGTTATATAAGTTTTTCTTTAACAGTTGTGAAAAATGAAATATCGAATTATTTGAGAGTAATAAAAATCACGTTTGTAACATATTAATTGTAATATAATCAATTAATTTATTTACTATAATTATTAGAATAATAATATTATTATGTTTATTAGAAAGAGCGATTATAAAATTACGTGGAATAATATTAGAATTGGGATTTAAATAATTGCATTTATTAGTGCATCGTTATGAAGCATATCAAGTGTCTGATTTGCTTTGGCGTGTCGATAAGGCTGCTGTTGGAGAGATGTAATTATGTTATATCGTTGAATATTTTTTGTTGTTGCTCTTGCTCTTGTATAGTTCTAGTGTAATTTTGGTTTGATAGATTATTAGTGGTGTACAAATAATCGAGCACGAACACACTTTGGAGAGATTATGTGCAGGAAACGGGTAATTTATAAATTCCAGATCGATCGGCGGCGGCGGCGGCGTCAGACGGAAGACTCGAAGGTCTCCTCTATTAAGAGGCACACCAATTCACCTGGTGATGAAGAGGAGGATCGTGGATTATGCACATCCACCAAAGCCGATTATTTAATAACGATCGCAATAGAATATTTAAGGTGGATTAATAGTTAAATAATAGCTATTGGTAAGACGGTTACCGCACTATATGCATCGTACACTTTCCAGCCGATGATTTAGTTAATGAAGTAAATTCATGGGCTGAAGGACTCGACGTACTTTCCGCCGGAGTTTAATCGATACGAGGCCAGGTTGGTTGGCACCCTCCTTCACCCACCACCCACCCGACACAGCGTCGAAAAAATACTGTATACTATATACACGTAGTATATAGCAGGCGGCGGCGACCGCTGCAGGCGGGGTTATGTATTTACGTTTTTTTTATATATATTAATTCTTCTTGTAGCCAATCCAAATTACACGCAGGAAACCCTGGTGAAAATCTAGACAGAAATTTTGCAACGAAACATCTTAGCGTCAGTTTTTTTTTTAAATTATTATTATCATATCATTTTTGCTTCTTTGCAAACATGTAATCTCTAATTCCGATAGTGCTATCTTCCGCGTTTGGTAAACAACAAAATTATGAGATGGTAGCGTGTTCAATTTGTTTGTTATCTTCTCCATAGTTTGCCTGCGTGCACTTTACAGATTTGCTGCAACCACTAAGATCATAAAGGTCTAAATCTTTATCTAAGTGCATAATGTATGTACACTTTCAGGAAATACAACACTAAAAGCATGCACATTTTCACAGCAATGTTTATACACATTCGCCCACAAATATCTTAATTTTTTTAACTAGTCTTTTAAATATTATTACAAAATTCATATTTTTTTCTTATTAACTGTTTACTATTTTTTTTTATACAAATAATTAAGAAAAAATATGAAATGCATTGAAAATTACAATAGTTTAGACAAATTTCAATTAATCAATAGATGTTTTTTTTTATGTACTTTTTAACTAATGTTTTAAATTTTATTACAAAATTCATATTTTTTTCTTATTAACTGTTTACTATTTTTTTTATACAAATAATTAAGAAAAACTATGAAATGCATTGAAAATTACAATAGTTTAGGTAATTTTCAATTAATCAATAGATGATTTTTTTATGTAGTATATTTAGAATTATCAAATTTCTAAAGTAAATTTATATGATTATATTATATTATAATTTATATGATTTATGGATTTTTTAACTCGAAAAAGTAAAACTAAAAATCCCTAATGGACATAAAATTTTGAGCAGTAGAAAAACAAACATGCACAGACAATTTCGTGCTGTTTTAATTATAAACAAAATTTGCAAAAATAACATCGCTTCGGAACGTTTTCCCCTCGATGGAAGTGTTTTCGCGCGGAGCGCAAAGAAAACACATGCGAATAGAAAAAACAAACGCGAGCGAGGGTTGGTGGGGGTGGTGAAGGGAAGGGTGGCGAGCAGAAATAATATTTGAATTGAAAGCGAGGAAGAAAAAATAAAAGGGGAGAGTTGATGATGAAGAGCGAAGGAAAAAAAAATAAATAAAAGAAAACTAAAAGGAAGAAAAAATAATGGAAGAAGTAAAAAAAAAACAAAAGAAAATAGAAGAGACGAGGCGATAACAAGGGACCCCAATATAACCCAAACATCGCGGCCCTCCGTCGTTTCATCTCCCTTTTTACAGATGTAGTTTGTGAAGGAAGATCGATTTTCAATGTCCTCTTCTCAGCTTCTCTCGTTGTTGTTCTTCGTCCTTTTTTTTTTTTGATATATACATATCCGATGCGACCCGAAGAAACTGTTTCGTTTCGGGTCAAAGGGTGGAAAAAGCCGAAGATATCGTTTCGAATCTCTTCCGAAGTTGTTAAAAGTGTCACCCGCATTAGTAGATTCTGCAGAGTCAGCTAATTTAACTTCACGTTAACTTTAACGCGCGCTCTCAAAGATAATCCCATTTTATTAAAATACATATACAAACAGATTAAATGTTTATTAATTGTCAATTTTTAAAGGTCATACAAGATTCATGAAGAGAAACTGAAATCATTTTTTCTTTCGTAATTGATAACATAACGCAAATTTGATAAGTTGATAAGAATATTTAAAGAATGCGATTAATTTTTTATATAGTGGTTTCAGTTTTCGTCTTACAATAAAGTTTCAGAAAAGAAAATGATTAGGAAATAAATTTAAATGAAATTTAACTTATTAACAATTAGAGAATATTCAGAGATTTCCAGATTTTGTCAATTAACTAAACTAAAGTTTAAATCAATTTGAGTACAAAAAGTTATCACAAAATTTGTAATTTCAGACAAAAAAAAAAGATTATTAAGGCATTTTACATAAAAAGATTTATGTATAATTTCTTAAAAATCATAGTGATTTCAGTTTTTGTCTTACAATAAAGTTTCAGAAAAGAAAATGTTTAGGAAATCAATTTGAATGAAATTTAACTTATTAACAATTAGAAAATATTCAGAGATTTCCAGATTTTGTCAATTGACTAAACTAAAGTTTAAATCAATTCGAGTACAAAAAGTTATCACAAAATTTGTAATTTCAGACAAAAAAAAATGATTATTAAGACATTTTACATAAAAAGATTTATGTATAATTTCTTAAAAATCATAGTGATTTC